ATATAGTTATATATATAGTTATATAGTTCAGGCCTTGAACTCACTTTGTAGCCCAGGCTGACCTCCAACTCGCAGTGATTCTCCTGCCTCAGCCTCCTGAGTGCTGGGATTACAGGCCCAACTTTAAGACCTCATTTATAATGAGGTCTTCACTTTCAGAATCTTAACAATATACCTCATAACCTGAGACCTAAAATTTTTTTGGGTCAAATGAGTATCTAGGAACAGTAACCTCTGGGAGCAACATTCTATCCTTAGAAGTAGCATATTGAGAAATGGCTGGTTGCTATGACTGCTAACCAAAGAACTCTAACCAAGGTTATAGTTTCCAAAAGTTACTGCTCAAACTGCCTCAGCTAATTCAAATTGTAATTTACAGACAGGCAGGAAGGGGCGCTGCTTCCATGGGCTGGGGCCCCACAAACCAGGGGAGGGCCACAGCTGCTGCCCACGCGTGGTGTCCACTAAGGAGTGGAGAGCTGTGGCTGCCTCCCTCCCCTGCCTCCTCACCTCCATGGGGTAAATGATGGTTTGGGCCGTGGCACCGGCCAAGGAGCCAGCCACAAAGCGCTCCTGCACGTGCAGTGTGTCCTGCTGTCCCCGGATGGCCCGTTTGATCTGAGGGAGAAGATAGAGCTGGGTGGGCCTTGGGCTGGAGGCTTCGTGCACCCTGTTTACTGGTTGCTCCACAAGCAGACTGTGGTGGGCACATGGGAGACAGCAGCCCCGCGCACACCGGCATTCCCAGCTGGCCCCAAGGTCCCCTGACCTGCTCATAGGCCATGAACTTGATGGCTGACTCTGGCGCAATCTTGAGCACATTGATGCCGTTGCCCCGCCATAGGGAGAGGACGCCCCCCTCCTGGACCATGCTCCGGAGGCCCCCTAGGATGTTGAGCCGGTTGGCCTTTGAGGCGTGGACCTGTGTAGGGAGCCAAGCTGGCCTTGGAATCCCATCCCAGATTCAGACCTGGGGTTAGGCTGGGGTCCCCCAGGGTCCCTCACCTGCATGAAGACCTTGAGGCGGTCCAGAGGAGCTGTGCCTGTGCGGGACACGGCGCCTGCCACCGCACCAGCCACCAGCTGCTTCCACCACATACCCGTCAGCTTCTCCTGCTTCGAGAACTCATCTGGCACTGTCAGGCATTCACCGATGTCCAGGACCTAGGGACAAGGAGGGCCTGGAGGTGTCATGCCCTGTCAGGGTCCTGAGTGGGGAGTCTCCTTCATGAACCCCTGGACACCCCAGAGAGTCCACCAGCGAATCTTGCTGGAGAGGCCCAGAGATCCTTCTTGGATCCCACAAATGCCACCAGAGCATCCCACCCTGTGGGATTCCTCCACCAAATCCCACTAAAGGACCATCAGATTCCCACCTAAAATCACCACATGCCACCAAAGGACCCATCAAATCCTACCAAAAGGTCCACCCAACCTCCCCAATGGATCCTACCCAAGCATCTGCCATCTAACGATCTCTCTAGGGCTTATTAGATCCCACTCAAGGGTCTCCCATAAAAGGGTTACTGAGGATCCCCCAGAGCCACACCCAGGACTCCAGCAGACCCCTCCTTGGGCCCCTCAAGATCTCCCAGGGATCTCTTCCTCCTCATTTTAGAATCCCCAATAAGGTCCCTGTACATGATTGAAGTCTCTGGATTTCCCAAGAGAATCTCATTAGATCTCACAGACGGGTCCTTTTTAGACACCATCACATCTGTGGTGATTCTCAGAAAGCGGGCATCCAGAGCAGCCACCCCCACTTCCAATGGATCCCTGGGCCTCGAAAAAGCCAGTGCCTTCCTAACTTTTCTGCCCAGGAGCAGATCCTTTTTGGATGGGAAGACAGCATGGCACAAAGAGAGCTGTGGGGGCAGTGGGGAGGGGACTGAAAGCCTGCCTTGTGAGCTCTTGTCCCTGTATCCTCTATCCCCACAAGTTGCCCCCAGAGGTCCCCTAGTAAGACTGACAGGCTCCACCCAGACAATGAGATGTCCTGGGTGGGTCCCCAGGCTCCTGAACCCCATGTACAGGAAGAGAAACCGCTTTGTTGCTCAGCGGTTCCCATCTGGGCAGTCGAGGTGCAGCCTTGCAAGCTGAGGAGGAGGAGAGGGCATTGCTGCCAGGCCTCGAAGGTGCTCACTGTGGAATGCTTCCAGAAGTACAGCACATCCTCCACGTTCTCCAGTGAGTGCAGCAGGAAATGGTCACGCCATTCCTGCCAGTCGATGGTCATTGTGCCGTCACGGTCCATGCTGGGGACAGGGTAGGGAACAGCTCAGTGCCTCAGGCTAGGTGAGGTGCCATGGGGTCTGCAGGTTTGGGGGGCACTGAGAGAGAGTGCTCCACATTTCTAGTACTGCTCTAATCACATGCCCTAGTTCCTGGGTATCCTGTTCTGGTTCCTCACATCCAGGGAGGGAACCCTGTTATTCTTTTCTTACAGCGAGGGGAAAAGAGGCTCCGAGTGTTCAAACAACTGGCTCAAGACATGTCTCACTCCAACTTCTCAGCTCTACTTTCCCTAGAACTGGTTCTGTGGCTCAGAAGATGGGGGTGACTTAGGGGTCCTGGAGCCTGAGTATTCTGCACCTTTAGCCACTTACCTGTGTAGAATCTTCTCCACCTGCTCCAGCGAGATGGAAATACCGAGAGCTCGGAAGCTCTGCTGGATCTCAGAGACATCGATATGACCTGGAAAGTGGGTCAGAGGTGGGGAAGAGTGTGGGAGGGCTCTGGGAGACCCCAGGACTAAGGATCACTGCTGCTTGAAATGGAGATGACCTAGCAAGACCAGGAGAAACCCAGTGCAAGACTGTAGGGGCTGTAGGGAGGTCCCTGATGCACTGGGGTCAGACAGGTGGAGCTAGGTAGTGCTGAAGAGCCCTCTATTCTACGAATGAATGAATGAATGAATGAATGCAGGACAAGCATGGGGATCCTTATGTCACAAGGCATTACAATGTAATATTTAGAACCCAGAAGCTCCTGGCGAGGGCATCTTTGTCCCCTAGGGAACCCAAATGCATTATGGGAGAATCTTTGTTGCCTAGTAAAATCTAAGGGCATTTATAGGGGTCCTGCTTCAGAAGGGAAAAGGAAGTGGGCTGGGCTGGCTGGGACTCGAACCACCTAGAGGGGGGTGAGAACTCCCAAAATAGCTCATGAGTCATCAGAAGAAGCACCCTTCCCCCTCGGTGCTGCTCCGTGCCAGTTCTAACCCCAGCACCCCAAGGCTGATCCCCACCTGCAGCTGGGCTTACCATCCTGGTTGCGGTCAAGGCTGTGGAACATGAGCAGCAAGCGCTGTTCTCGCTCCTGCAGGTAGCGTGAGAATTCCTCCAGGTTGAGGCCGCCACTTGCATCGGCTTCTCCCTCCTTGGAGGAGAGGTCCTGGCAGACAGAAAGGGGACACGGTAGGCTTCAGGAGGCTGTGCCCCATCTGGAAAGGGCCCAACAGGAGCTCTATGTCATAGGAACGCAGGCCCTCCAGCAATTCCAGGAAGTGGTCAGAGGATGCCAACCCCCCTTCTCCTAATCAGTTCCTGCTCAAAGGCCAAGGCCACCAGAGCTGTGAGAAGTGGGTGGCTGCTGGCCAGTTTTCCTGATGAGCAAACTGAGGCCCTGCAAAGGGCAAGTAACTAGTTCAAGGTCACAGAGCTGGGAAAGTGGCAATGTGGGATTCTTGTCTCCAAAGCCGATTCTCCCAGCTGCCACTTACAAAAGCTTGTCCCCACAGCAGTCCCTTTAGAGCCAGCTGCGGGAACTGTTGGGTTGGGAGGCCAGCAGCCTCCACATTTCCCATCTGGAGAGTGGGAGTTGGGGGCTGAAGTTCTCAAGGATGCTGTGAGCAGATTCAGGGACACTTATGGGGCTACAGGCATGAAGGATTGGCAAAATGGGGTGACAGAAGGACGGGCAATTGACAGGTGCACCCCCAGCTCAGGGTGGCCTCTGACCCCACGGAGTCCCAGCCTGCCCACTGCCTGGGGCAAGGAGCCAGGCCAGGAAAGGGATTGTAAAGGGGGGGGGGGACGGGGGACGGGGGGCAGTGGGTGCCCACAGGAGGTGGGGAGGGTGTGTCTTCTGGGGTTGGGGGCAGGATGTGTCTTGGGCTGTGCAGAGTACATAGGAGAGCATATCGGGGACAGTGGGCAGAGAAGCCCTTGCTCTGTCCTCTGGCAGACATGGCCCACCTCCAGGGGACCAGCGTGGGCAGCCAGCCTGCAGGCCCCGGCCCTTGGTCACCTGCCTTTCGATCCTGCCAGGCCAGATCCGGGTGGGCAGGGGGAAGGGAACAGAGACCAGAGGCCCTGGAGTCCAGCCACAGGTAGTCCCTGATGGTTCCGACCGCTCCTCTCAGGGGATCCAGGAGCGGGTGCACAAGGAAGGGGGTTCTCAGCGGCGAGGGTACCTGTTGGGTGCCGCGATCTGGGTCGCCTCCACGCATCCTTGCCAGTCCCTGGCGCAACTCGTGCACGTCCACGCGGCCATCCTTGTTTCGGTCCAGCTCCTCGAAAAGCCGACCCCAGCGCTGTCGCCGCTCCGCGTCATTCGGAGCCCCCGGCATGGTGCCTGCCCCGAGAGGGTGGGGGGGAGGGGGAGGCCCAGCAGCGGCAGCCTCAGCGGGGGCTTCGGGGCTCCCCCTCCCCCCCGGGGGCCCGTAGGGCCAGCTCTTAGGCCAAGCGAACCGGTGCTTCTGCACAGCACCGCCTGGCTCAGGCACTGGCTGGGAGGGATGAGTGCTGGCCGTCGCCGCCCGCACCAGAACTTGAGTCTCCTCCCCACCCGCTTTGAATGGAGGCGGAGGGGGCGAGGGCGGAGCTGGGGGCGTGGAGAGAGGTGTTCTAGGATGCTCGGGGATTGCACGGTCGAGGAGCACCAAGGAAAGAGCATAGCAAGCTCAGGAGGCTCGTTCTGCTTTCAGACTTTCTCCCTTGCTTGCCTCAGTTTACCCCTTTCACCATCTTAAAGGGGAGGAGAGAGGAAGACGTCAGGGATTGGGTTTCATAATCTCTTTTCCACTTGACCTCCTTCCGCTAATCCTCTTCAGGAACTAAAGTTCTCGCTTTTCCCAGACGAACGCAAGAACGCTGAGCAGACTAAATCCTCCATCTGCCGGTCCGCGCTGTCATTCTCTATTTGGTGACAGAAACTCAAGACCAAGTCTGGGCTCCACCTCCGTCGCTTCAGCCCTCCCGTGCCCCTACTTTCTTTGCCTCACTCGGTCTGAGAAACGCAAGATCAACCCGAGGCGCTACTGCAGAGTCGATTTACTATTGGCCAGAGCCTGAGCTGTGCCCGCCCATCCCCTCGCCCCCCCACAAGGGCGGGGCCTCCCGGGTGACCCTGGACAGCCTCAGGTCCCGGCCCCTCAGGGCCCGCCAGGAACTTTAAAGGGGCCGCGGCCCGCCTTAGGCACCCAGCTGACTGCTCCTAACCTGGAGGGTTTCTGTGTACAGCGCGGAGGGGGGTGAGGGAAAGCGGTGGCTTTGCCCTGGAGGCGGGCCCCAGTCCTCCGCTGTCGCTGCACCTGCCAAAGTCCCTCCCTGTACTTTCGGGAGTAATTTCTGCAATCGCCGTTAGGGGGAGCGGCGCCGGTGGACAGCAGATGATGATGATGATAATGATAGTTAACATTGCTTCCTGCCCTGAACTCATCTCACGCATTGTCCTCACCTGACCCTATTAAGGGGGGGGGGGAGCTCTAGCGTTTTCACTTTATAGACAAGAAGATATTAAATTTCCCAGTCTCCACTCCCAGAAAGGCAGCAATTTTGTTTTGTTTGAGACAGGGTCTTACTATGTAGCCCAGGTTGGCCTCGAACTCGCAGCAGGGGTCCTCCTGCTCAGCCTCCCAGTGGTGGGATTACAGGCGTGCCTGGAAGGGATGCCTGGCTTAAGGCAGGGATTTAAACATATCCTGGATCCTTAACCATTACTTTATACTCTTAAGGGACTCCTCATCACTCTTTACCTGAGAATCCTCTGGACTGGATCGTGTACCCATCAGCCTTTATCCAAAGATGCAGCCGATAGGGCTCATTTGGTTCCAGCCCAGCTGCTGTTCAAACAGGTGTTTGTGAACAGGTGAGTCCCAAAGAGACCTCTGATAGCCGACAGTGTTTTATTCACAGATGTCCCTTGCAGTTGCCCTACAACGTGGGGGATATAGATGTTTTCCCATTGGGACGCTCCCCGTAGGTACGTCCCCGACGGGTGGCGCTCAGCGCGCAGGACCGGCTGTCCTGCCCGTTGTCCCACAGCTGTGACCCAGTGTGGAGCGCCTCCCCCGGCAGACGCTCCTCGGGCTTCCCATTATTTGAGTTCAGTTCTGTGCTGGGTGTGGTGGCGCACGCGTGGAGTCCCAGTGGTCCTCTGGGACGGGGGGCGAGCAGGAGGAGGAGAATTGATGTGAGCTCCAGGAATGTTCTACAGGCACCGCACAGGTGCGTTCCAGTCCAGTGTTCATCCATAAGTGTATGCTTCCACACAGCAGGGTCTCATACAGGTGTATGTAAATGCAGTTGTGTTTCAAGACGGGCATCTCCTACACATCTCTGCACAAGAATTACATTCAAGTGGCGTACATTTCACAGGTGAGCCAAACAGTTCCGTTTCCAAAAAATAGGTGTGGTCCAACACAAGAGCGCCACCGGCTGTAATTCAAGTGTTTCCGCACCTTGATTTCATCCAGCTATGCCCCTTATGGAGGTGATTCAATGCCGGTGTCTCCGCAAAGGTCCGTACTGGGAACACCCTCAGGTATCTACACAGGTGTTTATTTCATTATGTGCTCCCAGGCCTCCTTCGCTGGAGTCTACGTGCCCTGTGTATCTCTACACCTGTGCGACCCTCCAGACGTGCAGTACAGGTGTGAAGTCCGTGCACCTGCGCGCATCCTCCCTCCCTCCCGCTGCCCCTCCCCATGCGCAATTGGCTTTCGCTGCAGGTGCGCTGAGGGCGCGGCCCCGCCCCTCTTGGCCCCGCCCCTCAAGGCTCAGGTGCACAAGCCGGAAGTGTGCTCCCCTCCCAGGTAGGTGACTAAATTTTCCGGGTCACGTGAGCGGGCGGGGCCGGTGGGGTAGGAGGGAGCGGCCGACCAACCGACCCGACCCAAGGTTTCGAGCGAGGGTCCGGGACAGGGGGTGGTGAGAAATCCAAGACTCAGGGGCCAGGTAAGGCGGAAGGGCGCGCTGGCCGGCCTGTCACCACCCCCTTGTCCTTCCCCTTCCCTTTCCCAGCCCTGGAACGCGCTCGGGAGTTAATCTTTAATCTCTGACCCTCGGCGGCGGAGGCGGGGCGGCTCCGGGTGTCCTGGAGCGCGTCGACTGTCCCGCCAGCCCGCACCCGGGGCGTCCCCCAACGCCGCGCTCCGGCCTCTCTCTTCCTGTGCCCAGGTGCCGGGTCGCAGCTGCCCCCGGCCCAAGATGCGGTAAAAACGGCCCGCGCTGGAAGCCCTGTCCTTGGCGTCACCCAACCAACTCCCAGCCCATGGCGACCCCAGGCCTGGGGCTGCTCTTGGCAGTCGGCCTGGTGCTCCTGCCCAACCGCTGGGGCCGAGCCTGGGGGCAAGGTAGGTACTGCCTTGGGGCCCTAGGGGAGGGGTGGGCTGGGTACCCGGGCTCAGGGGTGCTGGGCACCTGCGGCACCCGGAGAATGAAGAGTGCCGGGAGTGGGTGTGGGGCTGGGGAGGGGCTGGGGCTTCTAAGTTTCTGGCTCCTTCTGGCCAGGGCTGGTTGGTTTAGGACTCCAACTCTAAAGTTCTGGGTGGGGAGGTGGACATTGTGGGGTGGGGGAGGGGAGCCAAGTATCCTAGAGTCCCTGTAGTTGAAAATTTGGGGCAGATAGAGACCAGGGTCAGGAAGGCTACCTGGGCCCCTGAGCTCAGGTCGACCAGGCTGGCTATAGGTGTGGTCCCAGTGGGCCACCCAGTCCTGTTGCAGTAGGGGACCCTGGGGGGAGGTGTGAGTCAGGAAAGGCAGGACCTGCTCAGGTTCTTAGGGCCCAGGCCCAGGGTAGCAGCAGTGTGTGTGTTGGGGGTGGCTTCCGGACACCACCCAGCCTAACAGCCCCCTCCTGGAGCAAACAAGCCTGTGCTCATTGCTCCCTGCTGGGCCCTGCTGTGCTGGAGTGGCCCAAGCGCAGGCAGGCAGTGGGGGTGGGGGTGGCCACTTGCAGTCTCTGTTCCCAGGGAAGACTTGGAAGGGCCAGGGTGGGCCTCTCTTGGAGGTGGGTGGAGAAGGGCAGGGCAGGAGGGTTGGATGGGGGTTGAGTTATCCGCTCTACCCAGGCACTACAGCAGCATCACCCACTTCAAGTGGCAACAGCAGTGGCACCGTGACTGACTTCAGCTCCAATGGGGGCCTGGTGAGTTGAAGGCATATGTGGGAAGAGGGCATCTGGGTGCTACTCTGGGGTCCCATAAGGAGCAGGTAGTGGGGACTGGCTACCTTCAGGTGAGCAAGTCAGGAGAGACCAGAATGCCAGCGCAACAACAGGGGACCTAAAGTCTCAGAATAAGAGCACTAATAGCCCCCAGAGTAGAGCAAGTGGAAACACTAGGTGTGACTGCACATATGGTTATGGCCGTGGTGGCACTCGCCTGTCATCCCAGCATGATGGAGGCTGAAGCCGGAGGATGGCTGTGAGTTCGAGACCAGCCTGGGCTACAAAGTGAGTTCGAGGCCAGCCTGCACTGCATAGTATAGTGAGAGCCTGTCTCAATAAGACCCCCCCCAAAAAAAAATTATTGGTACGTTTTAGATATGCATAATGATCACATTCTTTGAGAATTTGTACCTGTACATGATATAACTTGCTTCTTTTCCCCCTATTCCTTTACCTTCCCTTCAACCCCTCTTCCCCTCCTGTTTTTTTTTTTTAAACATTTATTTATTTAGTGTGTGTGTGTGTGTGTGTGGCCAGCTCAGCCCACCAGGGGGCGGGGCTGGCTGGCATGTGGTGCTGGGGGATTGAACCGCGGTTCCTGTGCTTTGCCAAGCTTGTTCCAAGTAGGTGCTTTAGACCACTGAGCCATCTCACCAGCCCTTCCCCTCCTGTTTTTGTTTTCCAGTTGAAAGTTCCTTTTTTTTTTAACTTCCTTTTTGAGATAGGGTCTTGCTACGCAGTTCAGGCTGGCCTTGAGCTCACTTTGTAGTAGCTGAGACTGGTCTCGAACTCTCTCTCAGTTCCACTGCCTCAGCCTCCCGAGTGCTGGGATTCCCTCCTGGTACCATTATCTTGTTCTTTTCATTTTTCCATTCAGATTTTATTGGTACATTTTAGGTATACATAATGATCACATGTATCATAGGGAATTTGTAGCTGTACATGACATAAAATAACTCGATTCTTTTATTTCTCCATTACTCTCCCCTCTACCTTTTTTTTTTTTTTAGTACTGGGGATTGAACTCAGGACCTTGCGCTTGCCAGGCAAGTGCTTATTCTACTGAGCTATCTCTCCAGCCCCCTTCCCCATTTATAAAAGCTGTTTCCATTTTTTGATTCTTTTCCATTTTTTAAATTTCCCCCTTCCCTCCCTTGTTCCCCTCCCCATTTGAACATTTTCCTCCTACTTCACAGTACCTATTACACACTCTGGCCCTTGTTTATTTACACTTTGGCTGCTGTGTTTTTAGGAGCCTTTCCATTGGATGGCACTTGGCAGCAGCATTCTCTGTATTTCTGTGTGTCCCTCCTATGGACTCATGAAATAGGACTCCCAGCATTGCTCCAGAAAGGGCCAGGAAGATAGCTCAGTGGCATAAGCACCTGCGTGGCAAATGCAAGCTCCTGAGTTTGATCCCTGGTACCAAAAAAAAAAAAAAAAAGAAAGTGGCAGAAACAGTGGGATAGGTGTGTTCAAAAGACGGGGAGTATTTTGAGGGTGATTCGTGCCAGTGCATTGTTAGTATCTTTACATTTTTATCTATTTACTGGCTTTTTTTTTTTTTTTTTTTTTTTGGTGGAACTGGGTATTGAACTCAGGCCCTGCACTTGCTAGGGAAGTGCTTATTCCACTGAGCCATCTTCCCGGCCCCATATTTACTGGCTTTTTGAGGCAAGGTCTCATTATTAGTTCAAGAGGGCTTTGAACTCAGTGTAGCCTAGGCTGGCCTGGAACTTGTGGTGATCCTCCTGCCTCAGCCTCTGGACTGCTAGGATTGCGGGCATGCGCCACCACTCCCAGCTGTATTTGCATTTTTACAATTTTAACATTCACCATTCTTTGGGATCACTCTTTGTACCTGGTGGGTGCCCTCTATGCCAATGGTATGGATGGAGCCTAGAGCAGGCAGGTGTGGTGGGGCAGGAGTCTCAGTGTGGCAGGTGTGTGTGTGCATGTGGGGAGGGGAGCCGTGGAGTCCCAGAAAAGTAGGTGAGGATCCAGGAACCCCCAGGTAGGTGGCAGATCACCCGTAGTAGCGGGTGTATAAGGGGATGGGGAGGAGCCCCAGGTACAGGGCAGAGGGCTGGACGGATGGGACCTGGGGACCCAGGTGGTCATGCCTGCTTCCCGTGGCCCGCAGTCTCAGGAAGGCATTACTGCCATCATCGTGGTCTTCTCCATCCTGGGTGCCCTGGTCCTGATCGTGGCGCTGGTGTTCCTGGTCCGGAAACTTCGAGAGAAGCGGCAGACAGAGGGCACCTACCGGCCCAGCATCGAGGAGCAGGTGGGTGCCCGAGCGCCTCCACCCCCCAACCTCAAGTTGCCCCCCGAAGAGCGGCTCATCTGATCACTGGGGCCAGCTACAGCCACCACCACTGCAAAGGACAGCCCGGTGCACCCTGGGGCTCAGCAGCTGCCGCCAAGATGCCGTGCTCTGACGGCTCAGAAGGACTTGGGGGCTGTGGGGGCACCGGGCTGCAGCATGCTGCCTCTGCCTAACTCCGCATGCAGCTGGGCGCTCGGGGCTGGGACCCACCTCCCTGCTTGATGCATTCACCACCTTCGCACTGCTGTGTCCTGCCTTGCCACTACAGGCCCAACAAACCCCTGTCCTTTCTTTCAGTTCTCCCATGCAGCTGAGGCCCGGGCCCCCCAGGACTCCAAGGAGACGGCTCGGGGCTGCCTGCCCATCTAGGCCCCCTTTCCTACATCCATCTCCTTCCTTGCTGTGTGACCTTGGGGGAAGGCAGCACCCTCTCTGGGCAATCAGATTCATCCCGTGCTTAAGAATAGAAGGGAAGAAGGTGCTTAAAGACTTTGCCCCTGAGGGCAAGGGAGGGTGGGGCTGTTCACTTTTATATATTTATATAACATTGGTAGTGAGCTATAATAAAGTTTTTTTTTTTTTTTTTGAGCTGGTGGGAATATTAGCCTAGATGGATGATCTGGAAGCAAAGATGAAATGTAAGCCTGCAAGAATCCTGAGAGCCTGGGTTGGGGGAACCCCCAGAGGGAGTGACTTTTATATTCACCTAGGAGCATCTACTGGTCAGAGGTTTCTCTTGGGAGAAGGCGTTAGATGGGGTGCATTTCCAAGTGGAAAGAGGCCCCAGAGGAGCTCAGCAGGAGAAGCCAGCTTTGGGTTGATGGCTTTATTAAGGAACTCGGGTCACTTTAGGCGACCTCTGATCTTTTAGCTCTCGAAGCACTTCTTTAGCTCAGAGACTCGGGGCCGCCTTCCAGCCAGGGGCTCTTGCCAGCTGCTTTTGGAAGAAGCAGGGGCATCAGGGGCTCCCTGCTCCTCGGGTGGCTGGAGCTGAGCATGCTGTAGCAGGGCCTTGGGGAGCTGGGCTCTGGGGTTCTCTGGACAAGTGAGGTCTGCGGAAGAACCAAGTGACTGGGCTGGCCAGGTAGTATCATAGGCGGATTCTGTGGGGACCAGAAGCTGAGGGCTTTCTGGAGGGCTGGGCTGGGCAGGTGCTGTGGAGAACCCAGAACCTGGGTGGTCCTGGGCTCTGGGACCCTCGGTTGCCTTGTGCGGAGGGACGGCTGGAAGATTTATGGGCTCAGGGACAGGAGAGGATTTGGGGTCCTCTTTGGTGCCCAGGTCTGCAGCGGCTGTTGAGAGCTGAGGCAGAGGCAGGATTTCTTGGTTGGCCCCGTGGGACAGCTGGGGATTGGGGCTTTGAGGGGAGCTTATGGCACCCAGAGACTGGCAGTTTTGTAGGGATGACAAGTCCACAGGCAGGGAACGTGGCTGGGGCTCTGGTGCCATCTTGTCATCTGCTTGCCAGCTGCTCCTTCCGGGTCTGTCGGGCTGGGTGGAGCAGGGCGGAGGAGGGAAAGGCAGTTGCTGACGTTTAGATGGGAAAGCAGCTGGCTGTTTGGATGAGCAAGTGGGGAAGGACTTGCCTGTGGGGGCGCTCACCAGGCTGAAGCAGATATCCAGGTCGCCTTGGTGACAGCAGTCTAGGCTCTGGCTGGGCCGCAGGCTGCTCGCACTCTTGACCTCCACACTTAGACTGTCCAGAATCTCGCTTAGCAAATCCAGTTCCTCCCCAGACCCCAAAAAGCTGCTGTCCAGGGTTTCCTCTGGCCACAGGCTGTGGGCATCCTCGGGGCTCCGAGGGGGTGATCTGAGACCGTTGGAAAGCCCAGATGTGTCTTTTCCTGAGACCCCTTTCCCCCTAACCTTGATTGGGCTGCTGTGGAGTTTGGGGACCCTCTATTAGTGCTGGCTGTCCGCTTGCAGCATCAACCTCCTGCCCGAGCCTCACCTTTCTCCTGGGGCCTCAGAAGTTCTCTCTTCTAGCCTGAGCCTCCTGCCAGGGCGCAGGGGCCGATTCTGCAAAAGACAGAGGTGCTGAGGGGAGGGTTGGGGACCTCAGGACCTGCAGAGTCAGGAGGCTGGAGCTTTCTAGAGGAGGGTGAGTCAGAAGTGGGGTAACTGAGGAGCAAGTGAGATGTCCTTGGGGTTCATTTGTGCTGTGTGCATCGGGAGGGTGGCTTCCTTACCTGTCCGAAGTGCTGGGTGATAGGCAGGCGCTGTTGCAGGCGCTCTGAGCGGCTAGTGAGGGCTGGGACCCTCAGGGAGCCCACCCTGTGTGGGCCAGGGTACCCATCCTAGGAAGAAGATGTAGGAGCGGTGGGCCACACCCCACTCCCCATGGTGGCGCTGGCCAGTGAAGCGTGACTTACCTTGTACACCAGTAGACTCTGCATGCCCTTCAAGCCGCTCTTGGCCTGTGGAGGAGCCGTGGGAGGGTCAGACTGAGAGCGACTGGATTCTGGGCATTTGCGATCAGCCCTGTGTCTCCGAGGGAGAACACCACACTGGTGGCACCTGTCCATCCCCGTGTGTCCCCAACATACTCCTCCCCAGCTGCCACTGAAGAAGTCATACAAACTTTTGACCTCCTGCCTCATCTAGAAGTATTCCCAGGAGAAATAACCCCTGTGGGAAAAAGACTGGCGCGGTGACCTGGGAAATTTGCATCACCCGTCTCTAAGTCAAGTGAAGAATAAAATCAAAATGGACAATTTTGAGCTGCAAAGCTTGGTCCCAGGAAACGTTCAGGACTGGGAGGAAATCCCAAGCATGGGTGCTGGGACTTGGTGCCTGAGAAGAACAAAAGATATTCCTCATTGAAACTTGATGGTCCATTTGAGATGGATAAAAGATGACTCTGAAGAGATTGAATTCAGTAAATGGAAAATAAAAGCAGAGAAAAGTTGTAATGGTTTAACTGCTAGTTTAATTGTGATAAAAATGTGTGCATTTGTTGGGGTCAAAATGTCCCATGCCCTGTGAAGGGTCGCAGTGTCCCATGTTCTCCCCCTGCTCACCCCAGCCCAGCCTCACCGAGCGGTACATGTTTTTGACAGCTGGTTGGGTTTTGGCTTTGACTGAATGCAGGAGGGCACCGCCACCTTTCTAGGAAAGAAAGACACCAATGGGGAGAGGCTGGGTCCCTGGAGTCCCCAGGGCCCTGACCCTTATTCCCAGCTGGACAGACTCCTCCTCCTGAGTCCCAATTTCTTCACCTCTTTAAATGAAAACTAAAACACACAAAGGATGGGTTAGTGTCCTTACCTTTAGATTGTCAGCCCATTGCTGATAGGAGCGGAGGGTGCCTAGGGGGAGGGAAGAGCGGGTGGTCACCCAAGCAGGCAGGGGCTGGGGTGCTGGTGGGGACCACAGTCAGGACCCAGGCTTACCTGAGGAGGCCCCACAGCAGGTGATTTCCTGCTCAAATTCATCAGAGAAGCCCTCCCCTGTGTTGAGCTTCTCTAGCCGAGCTTCAATGAACTGGGGTAAGAGAGAGGGTCAGACATGTCTCAAAACCAGGGCTGTGTCCCCTGTTTACCCCAAGGACCCCAGATGTGGATCCTCGCCTTGGTGCCAGAAATCTAGTTCTAGCCCCCTCATCAGGACTGATCCCCAGATATCAGAGTCCACTTCATCAGCTCCGGGAGCTAGGAATGCTGCACCGCATCTCCTTACAGACGCTGGAACCAAGCCCTGCCCTTAGGGACTCTGAAGTCCAGCCTCACTCCACCCATTCCTAGGACCTAGGGGTACCTCCTCACCATCTGAAAAGGACTCCACACTCAGGGCTCAAACTCTGGAATCCTGCACAGACCCCCACCTCTGACTCAGCAGGATTCCTGTTAAGGAACCCAGTTGTTTGAGCCAACCTCATCCTCCAGGGACCTAAAACTGTCTTGACCCTCAGGAACCCAGTGGCTCTCAGTTTTTCTGATGCAGAACTTGGTACCATCTCTCACTTGTGGACCCTAGAGTGAGGCGTCCCCCAGGAGAGCCTCTACAACCTCAGAAATCTGCTGTAGCCTGACCCATGGGACTCAGGAATCTGCCCTGGCCCTGCCCTATCCTGCCCCAGGGACTGAACCATCCAATCTGACCATGCCCCCAGGAATCCAGTGGTCCGTTTCTGCCCCTTAGCCATCTTCGAACCTGTTTGAACAACTGCAGGTGTACAGCCCTCTGGTGGAAGGCCTGCAGGGGCGCCCCAGGCTTCTGAGCCAAGAAGGCTTCTTCACTGAAGGTTACCAGCTGGCCCTGGAAGAAGGACCCCCATCATCAGAGCCCCTGTGGCTATCCTGCCCCCAGCTACCTGCCTCCTTCTACCCTCTAATCTATGTGGTCCACATGCTTGGGGCATTGTCTGTGTTCCAGACCTGGTGCAGGAGCCCCTGGGCCTCCAGGAGGGCTTGAATTTTTGCTTTAAGGGAACTGGGATTCCTGGGAGGAGGACAGGGCAGATCAGGGATGTGACAGGCCACCTCTGGCCTCTGGGTGGACCACAGGCTATGGGGGTAAGGGCAGGATCCTGCTTGGTGAGGGCAGGTGGAAGAGGGAGTTAGCACAAGCAGGCTGTGTTCTGAAAGGAGAGCCGGCAGATTTTGTTTCTGAGACAGGTCTCACTATGTATTTCAGGCTGGCCTTGAACTCACTATGTAGCCCAGGCTGGTTTCAAACTTGTGGCAACCCTCTTGCCTCAGCCTTCCTAGTGTTGGGGTGACATGCGTGCACCACCATGCTCGCTTCCCCCAAGGTTCTTATGGAACAGTTGTGAAAAGTGGGGGAGGGGAAGGTCCTGGTTTCAGTATGCTTCCCCAAGGCTTAGTTTTCAACTATGTGAAATGGGGAGGTAACTGTATCAGTTTTAGGATACCTTGAGCATTAAACAGAAACAGGAAAACCTAGCATCAGTGGAGAGCTTCTTATGTGACTGACACTAGTCAGCGTGCTCGTGGTGCAGTGCCTTTTGGGTGGGCACTACTGGGTGACTCCAAAGCCACGAGAGCAATCTCTCCCCCGGCATCCATCCCCGCTGCTCACCGGGCTGTAGACAAGTGCATCTCTATAGCCCCCAAAAAGCAGGGCCTGGGCTTTGAGGAAGAGACGGGACACCCCTTCCCCCGGGATCAGCGCAACCTTTCTGAGCCGCAGCCGCAGCAAGGATACCTGGGGGAGAGATGAGAATCTCAAAATGTATGGAGCCTCCCTTCCCGGAGCGCAAGGAGGGTCGTGGAGGGGGCATTTACCACGTCTGGGGGCAGCGCCTGCACATCATCGAAAGGCGTCTCCAAGGTATTAGTGTCCACGTTCAGCACCACGACATCCTCCAGGGCTTTGTCGCGCACCCTCTGCAAGGAGGTGAGGAGGGCGACAGCCACTCAGAGCCCAGGTGGGGGTGGGCATCTGGAGACACAGGGGTGGGTCTCCCGCTCACCTCTGCAAGGCTCGCGTGCACTCCGATGAGGTAGGGCATGGGCGCGCTGCGAACAGAGGGTCGGGGTCATGCCAGCCCCCCACCTCAGGCCTCTTTCCTTAGCTATACCTGGCTCTCCTCAGTCCCCCACTCCTTACCAGCAGTAATCCAGCAGGTGCGGGGGCAGCGTGGGGATCAGCACGTGTTCCCAGCGCATGGGGTACAGGAGGGCACAGGACGCATGGACGCAGGAGGTCAGCTGGAGACAGATAGAGGTCGTGGAGTCAAGGGCCCTGCCTAAGCTGGCAGCTCAGACGGCCCCAGGCTCTAGTCCTCTTTGCCTCATAGGATACCAGGATAGCAGGTGTAAACTCAGACCTCTAACAATCAAGTGAACAGGCTAATCACAGTCAGCCTTTGGTGTCTGGGGCCAAACATATTCAGAAAAAATTTATGTCAGTAGGTGCATGCCTGTCCTTCCAGCACTAGTGCTGGGAGGCTGAAGCAGGACTGTAAGTTCTAGCCCAGTCTGGACAACTTGGCAATTTAGGGAGACCTAGTCTCAAAAAATAAAAAAGGGGTACCGGGGAGATAGCTCAGTAGAATAAGCACTTGCCTGGCAAATGCAAGGGCTGAGTTCAATCCCCGATTCTGCCAATAAATAAATAAATAAATAGGCCGAGGATGGCACTCAGTGCAAAGATGCTGGGTTCCACCCTCCCAGACTCTCCCACAAAATGGCATCTGCAACGAACGTGTACAGATCTTTTTCTTGCCACTGTCCTTAAAAGATGCACCATAACGACTATTTATGCAGTGTTTACGATGTATGAGTATCGCAAGTCACTTAGAGATGGTTATTTTCCCTCTTTGCGGTGCTGAGGATAGAGCTAAGATTCAGCCAGCCCTGGCTGCATCCTAGGGATGTCAAGCCAGGATTCCACCTTACTAATACCACTCCTTAAAAAAAACAAAACAAAACAAAACAAAACAAAACAAAACAAAACAACCAAAACACTAGAATCCGACCCACTGTCCACGTCCACAGGACCGAGTAACGTTCGCTCCACCCACATTTGACCTAGGAAATGTGGCGCTAGCTAATCTCCCCGTCCAGGGGGCGGAGCCAGGCCTGCTCCAGCGCTCAGTGGGCGGGACCTGCACGCCGCGCTCCCGAAGGGGAGGAGCTACGACGCCCCGCCCCCTGGAGCCGGGACTTAGCCCTGGGCTCTCTCGGTGGGAATCCTCCCAGTTGTCGCCTCCACCCTAGTTGCCGAGCAAACTTTGCCCCTCCCAGGGCCAGGCTGGCCCTTACTCACGGTGCTGAGCTTGCTGGCCGTGAGCAGGACCCGTCTCTCCGCCAGCAGTGAGGCGAACAGGCCCACGAGGTTCTCATCTGTCACCGCCACCACCAGCTCCGTAAGGTTTCTCTGCGCGAAGAGGGGCGCGCGCTGGGCACGGGCGGACGCCGCGGTCGGTGGTGCATCCCCCCTCAGGGCTCAGCGACTCGTCCCTGCTCCTCAAGTTCCCTCCCGCGGCCCCACTCACATTCTCAGGAATGGATGGCAGGCAGCGACAGTCAGGAGCCACAAAGCAGGGAAGCTGTGGGGACGTTGGCGAGGGGGCTCGGTCAGTCGGGGGCTTGGCCCGTGGCGCCCAACCTCCCGGGGTCCCCGAGCCTGCTCACCAGCCTGCTCTTCCCGGGCGCAGGCGGCGGGGTTCCGTGCCCGCTGGAGATGGCCACACCACTGCCCTGGGAGACAAGGAAAACTGTAGTCGTCAGGGTTGGGCGCAGCCCCCCACCCACTGCCTGGGCGTTGGGGGTCTGCTCACCAGCTCTAGCCTCGGTGTGGCCTGGGGTCCGGGCGGGGCCTGATGCAGCAGATTTAGGAGAAGTTCCTCGGCCTCCGAGACCTGCGTGGGATGGAGAGTCAGAGTTAGAAGGTGGCTTTGCGACAGAGACTCTGGCTCAGGCCAGGGGGGAGCGGAGGGATGCGGGTCCTGGCAGGAGTTCTGGGGGCCGACGCAGCAGCTGGCCTCACTTGGTCCTGGACTAGCAGGTCCCCCACGGTGTTCAGCAGCTTGTAGAACACCTCAAACCATGGCAGTTGGCTGTGGAGAGAGGAGTCAGGCTCTGGAAGTCCCTGGAGGCTATTCGTTCCTGCCACACCATCCCAGACCCCGCCTAGGCCGCACCTGAGGATGCAGAGGCAACTCCGACCTCCAGCACGCAGGCGGCAGAAACCAAATCTGCGGTTGCCAGCCAGGTCCGTGAGGGTGAAGGTGAAGTGCTGTACCGCAGGGGTGGGGGGCTCCCTGTGGGAGGGAAAGGCTCTCAGGGAGATGTGGTGTCCTAATGCCCATCCCCACCCCCACAAAGTTGCTTCTAGTGCTGCAGCCACCAGGCCAGACCCTGGCTGTGTAGGTCCCTTGTTTTTCTGATCATTTAGTAGCTAATTCCATTGCTCATAGGTTTCTGACTGGATGGGGTCTGAAATAGATGGGCCCTGGGTTCTTAGGGTCAAAATCTCAGTGCTTGGGTCTCTTGGTTCATAGATTCCTGTGTCCCTGAGTCCCTGGTAACCCTAAGTCCCTGATTCTCTGGGTTCATATGTATATAGGTCCCTCCCTTGAGGTCAGGGTCCCTGTTTTCTGGATCCCTGGTTTTCAGATCCCTGGGTGTGTGGTCCTCCAACTCAAGATTCTGGGTGTTAAATCCTTAGAGATTTTCCATGTCTGTTGTGTTCCATACCTTTCCACATCGAAAGGGAAGCAGAACTTGGGCACCATCTGCATGGCTTCCTGGGGGTAGAGAGGAACATGAACTTTCACTCCGGTCAGACCCCATCCCCAGGTTCTGGGCCCAAGGCATGGACTGCTCTACTGTCCCCAGGGTCTGGCCCTGGGGGAGTAAGGGGTCCCCTGAATACCTGGTCCCTGAAGTCTGGAGGGAACTGTCGCAGGATGACAGGATCTATAGAGGAGAGAAGCTTCGACATTCTGGACATGGAGCCCACTGCGTTACCCTTCCCAGCGGGCCCTCCACTTACCCTCCTGTAGGGAGGAGGGCTGGGCTGCTTCGAAGAACCAGTCAAACACGGCGGTGGGACCCACTCTGTGGGATGGAAGGGGGCTTCAGTGGTCCAGGACTTGCTTCTGTGTATGTGGGGTTGTACTTGCCACTCTACACAAGTGTGTGATTGTTCATATGTGTGTGACCAGGTGTGCTGATGTGTGCATGGCTCTAGGGGGTTGTGGTGATGTGTGATTGTGCAAGGTTGTATGTGCAACAGAGTTGCTTGTGCATAGCAAGAGTGTAACTGTGTGTCTGCATGCCTGACTGTGTGAACATGCAGTTGTGCATGTGTGTGTGTGTGTGTGTGTGTGAGAGAGAGAGAGAGAGAGAGAGAGAGAGAGAGAGAGAGAGAGAGATTCTGTCTAGTGCCTACTTGAAATGATCACTGTCTTATGGATCTGTGGAGTGGGGCAGCGGGTGTGTGTGAAGGGAGTGTGCAGGTGAATTATGTCACACCTGCCTGTTCTCCCTTGGCTGTGTCTCTTGTGTGTGAAGATGTTGTGGCTTGCCCGTGTGTCTCTGTGTGATATTTTACTTGCACACCCCAGCCCTGTGGCTGACCCTACATTTCTTCTTGGAGAAAGGAGGCCAGGAAGTCCTGCTGCTTACTGCAGGCTCCACAGCCTCTGCTTCTGCCTTCCTCCTTGTCCCCCGCATCTCACAGAGGATGCTGAGACCTGGAGTCAGGGAAACCCCAAAAGGCTCATGCTCAGAGAGGGACAGACACTTCCAGAGTCACAGACTAAAACCCTGAGCTGCAGCAGGGGATGGAGGGAGGGGGAGAGAGAGAGGTAGAGGCAGAGGCAGAAGCAGACAAGGCAGATAGACACGCAGATGGACCAACCAAGTCTGGTCTGAACAGGCCCCAGGAGTGGAGGCCAGCTGAGGTCCTGCCCTGACGCCTGCCACCTGCCCCTGTGGGTCTTGGTACCTCCCAGGCCTCCCCCAGCCCTGGCTCCTCTTGTCTCCAGCCATAGCCCAGGAATCTCTGCCCACAGGATAAGGGAGGGGGTGGCTCTTACTCAGCTCTTGTTCCCATGGTCCCGGCCAGGCTCTCTCCCAGGGGTCCTGGGGGCCGTGCTTGCTAGGATTGGGCCCCCGGACTGGCTCAGCTTCCTGTGTGGCTGACAGAGGAAGTTTGACGAGAGAGTGACGTCCTGTCCCCTGACGGAGGCCCCTGCCCCCACCCGCAGTGAGTGAGAAACCCAGGCATCTTGCTTCCTGGCCTTCTCTGGAGTGGGTGGGTAAGAGGTAGGAGGGCTCCAAGGCCAGACCTCCAGGTCCATCCTGCCACGCTGGCCATGTCTGGTCCCCGCAGTCACACTCACGCCTGCATCTCCCTCCCCTTTCTCAGGTAGGGATTCAGGGGGCCTCAAATGCTTCCCTTTCCTTTAACCCTGGGCTGCACCACAGGACCCCCAGGGGGAGCTGGCCTGGGGAGAGGACATGCAGGAGGCAGAGACAGGTGGAGGGGGGGAGATATGGTCAGAACCCAGGTGCAAGCAGGGAGTGGTGGTGACACTTGTCATCCCAGCACTCTGGAGGTTGAGGCGGAGGAGCACAAGTTTGAGCCCAGCCTGAGCAATGTGGCAAGACCTTGTCTCAAAAAAATGAAAAAAAAAAAAAAAAAAAAAAGAAGGAGGGCTGGGAGGTAGTTCAGTACAAAGGCTCTAGGTTCAATCTCTAACACAGCTACACAGACAGTGTGAGTGTGCTCACGTGTGCACACACACATGTGCGTGTGTGCATGCACACACATACACACACTCAAGCTCACAGCCCAGAAGGCACCAACATAAAACACACTCCAGAGCAGGGCCAGCCCCTCCCTCTGGAGAGACCTGGCCAGTTGCACCAGGAGGGGAAATGAACTTGCAGAAACAGGCCAGGCAAATGATTCCTTTATTCATGAAGGACAAGGCAGTGGGAGGGTGGTGGGGTTCACAGCAGAGACGATGCTTTCCTAGGGCTACAGGCCTTTGATCTCTCCTCAGTCTGCCAAAGTAGAGGGAGCTGAGGGGAGGAGGCCAGGTAAGAAGCAGAAAGCAGGGAGGACTGGTCGGAGGATCCTGGGGCTCTGGGGTGGAGTTGAGAGGTGAAGGGAGACTCCTACAGAGGGATCACAAAGCTTCCAGGGTTTGCAGGCCTAGGGGTCTAAAGATCAAAGGTGAAGAAGGAGGGAGAAGGGGTGAAAGAGGGCTTATCAAGTTAAAGATGGGGATTACAGGGCCAGGAAGCAGGGCTTGTGGGGATACCAGAATTGGAAGAGCTCCACAGGGGTGGTTGCAGACAGAGTGAGGTTCAGGGTCACAGGTGCAGTGATCTAAAGAAACTGTCAGGGTTGGGACCAAGGGGTGTTCCTGGGATCCAAGGGTCAGAGGTGAGTCAAGCAGGGAGAAGACCCTGGGGGCAGGCTTCCTAGGCCACCTCCTCCTCCGCCTCCTCCTCGAACTCGCCCTCCTCCGCTGTGGCGTCCTGGTACTGCTGGTACTCGGACACCAGGTCGTTCATGTTGCTCTCGGCTTCGGTGAACTCCATCTCGTCCATGCCCTCGCCCGTGTACCAGTGCAGGAAGGCCTTGCGCCGGAACATGGCCGTGAACTGCTCCGAGATGCGCTTGAAAAGCTCCTGGATGGCCGTGCTGTTGCCGATGAAGGTTGCTGCCATCTTGAGGCCGCGCGGCGGGATGTCGCACACGGCCGTCTTCACGTTGTTGGGGATCCACTCCACGAAGTAGCTGCTGTTCTTGCTCTGCACACTCAGCATCTGCTCGTCCACCTCCTTCATGGACATGCGGCCGCGGAAGACAGCGGCCACCGTGAGGTAGCGGCCGTGGCGTGGGTCGCAGGCTGCCATCATGTTCTTGGCGTCGAACATCTGCTGGGTGAGCTCGGGCACCGTCAGGGCGCGGTACTGCTGGCTGCCCCGGCTGGTGAGGGGCGCGAAGCCGGGCATGAAGAAGTGCAGGCGCGGGAAGGGCACCATGTTCACGGCCAGCTTGCGCAGGTCGGCGTTGAGCTGGCCTGGGAAGCGCAGGCAGGTGGTCACCCCGCTCATGGTGGCCGACACCAGGTGGTTGAGGTCACCGTAGGTGGGGGTGGTCAGCTTGAGGGTGCGGAAGCAGATGTCGTACAGAGCCTCGTTGTCGATGCAGTAGGTCTCGTCGGTGTTCTCCACCAGCTGGTGCACAGACAGGGTGGCGTTGTAGGGCTCCACCACCGTGTCTGACACCTTGGGCGAGGGTACCACGCTGAAGGTGTTCATGATGCGGTCGGGGAACTCCTCTCGGATCTTGCTGATGAGCAGGGTGCCCATGCCCGAGCCCGTGCCGCCACCCAGTGAGTGGGTCAGCTGGAAGCCCTGCAGGCAGTCGCAGCTCTCAGCCTCTTTGCGCACCACATCCAGGACAGCGTCCACTAGCTCAGCACCTTCTGTGTAGTGGCCCTTGGCCCAGTTGTTGCCAGCTCCAGACTGACCTGCAGAAGGAAAGGGGAGACCACGTGAGTGTTTATGGGGAACCCCACCCTGCACAGGTCTGCTCAACCTGGAGGGCCCCTGAGGGTTAAATAACAATAGCAGTGGGACCTGGTGTGCACAGATGTTATCCTAGCACTTGGGAGGCTGAGGCAGGGGGATTGCTTGAGTTTGAGGCCAGCTTGGGCTATATAGTGATACCCTTTCTCAAAAAAAAAAAAAAAAAAAAAAAGGATACAAGGAGCTGGGAGTGGGGGTGCATATCTGTCATCCTAGCATGTGGGGATGCTGAAGCAGGAGGATGGCAAGGGCAAGCCCAGTTTGAGAAATTTATGACTTAAGATAGATCTGTGTGTGTGTGTGTGTGTGTGTGTGTGTGTGTGTATTTAATACAGGGTCTACAGGGTCTCATTATGTAGATTGGACTCATAGCGATCTTCCTGTTTTCAGCCTCCCAAGTGCTGGGATTACAGGTGTGTGCCACTAGGCCCAGTCTCAATCCCACCCAGTCTCAATCACCTTGTCCAGTATCAACCCCAGTTTTAGCGCATCCTGGGGGCAGGACCGGCATGACATGCACTCTGCCTAAGCAGGTGCTTTACGCTGCTGAGCTATCTGGCCAGGCCTTAAGAGAGATCTTGTCTCAAAATAAAATGTGCTCTGGGATCAAGGTACTGTAAATAAAAAAGATACAAGGATTAATTGCCTAAATATACATATATATATATATATATAATATATATATATATTTTATGGAACCAGGGATTGAACTCAAGCCCTTGCGCTCATCAGGAAAGTGCTTATTCTACTAAGCCATCTTCCCGGCCCCACCATTACATTATTTAATAATGTATTTTGGTTTTGAGGGGACAATGTGGGCACATGCTTTTCCACTGAACCACACCTCAGCCCCCTTTTCTTTGTCATGCTGGGGATTTCTTGTTTTTTTGAGACAGGGATGCCTAAGTCACCACACTGCCCAGGCTGGGCTTGAACTTCTGCCTCAGCCTCCCAGACTGCTGGGATTATAGGTTTGCATCACCACACCAAGGGCTGGCACATGCTAAGAACATGCCCCACCACTGAACTGCATCCCACATCCAAGTTTATTTTATTTATATTTTTATTTTTTTAAAAAAAATATTTATTTATTTATTTGTGTGTGTGTGTGCGTGCGCGTGTGTGTGTGTGTGTGTGTGGCCAGCTCAGCCCACCAGGGGGCGGGGCTGGCTGGCATGTGGTGCTGGAGGATTGAACTGCAGTCCCTGTGCTTTGCTAAGCTTGTTCTAAGTAGGTGCTTTAGACCACTGAGCCATCTCACCAGCCCTATTTATATTTTTATATTTTTATGTAGTTAGTACAGAGTCTACAAGGCCTCACTACACAGATCGGACTGTAGTGATTCTCCTGTTTTTAGCCTCTCCAGCACTGGGATTACACCATGCCTAGTCTCAATTGCTGTCTCAGCATGTCCTGGCATGGCATGTCAGGGATTGAATCCTGGTCCCTGTGACTGCCTAAGCAGGTGCTTTAGTCTGCCGAGCTATCTGGCCAGCCCCCTAATTTATTTTTAAATTGATTTTTGCAGTGCTGGGGATGAAACCTAGAGCCTTGTGAGCATTCAAGCAAGTGTTCCACCACTGAGGTATATGCCCAGCTCCCAAATTTATTTTTTTAATCAATTAAAAAATCCATAATAATTATATATATATTAGCTGGGTGTGGTGGTGGTACATGTCCCCAATCCCCACACTCGGGAGGCTGAGGCAGGAGGATTGCCCCGAGTTTGAGACCAGCCTGGACTACATAGCGAGACCCAGTCTCAAAAAAAAGTACCTATTATGGGGTACACATGGTGTTCTGACACATGTGTATACTTTGTGTAATATTCATGCTAGGTTAAACATCTATGTTCTCATTCACCATTTCTGTGGTTAAAAGGTTCAAAGTCCTTCTAGCTGTTCAAAATGTACAATACGTTATTGTTGCCTCATGTACAGTAAATAAATAAATAGCATGTTCATGACTACTATAATAATCATTATTATTATTTGTGGTGAGAGAGAACCCGGTGCCTCCCACATGCTGAGCCAGCGCTCTACATTTCCAGCCCTACTATTATGACTGTTTTCCCAGCTTTCATCCGTGGCTCACCTTTGCCCAGCAGGCAAAGGAATCTTAGAGAAACCTAAATCAAATAACATGCTGTAGCTCAAATTCACCGCCCAATTCCTTTCTTAATAGTCCAAGTCCTCCCTTCCGCCAGAGGGCGCTGTGAGCACCAAGCCCGACTCTCCCTCTGCCCTCTGCCCTCCAGGGCTCCCACCACTCTGGGGCAAAGCCAAGTCCTGC